ACCCCGCTGTCACGGGGCAGGTGTCCACTCTTACTTCCTTATTCCCTGCCTTGCAACCCAGGAGACGGATTCTACGCCCCAAATTGGGAAACCCCGACCCACACACCACGTGGGTCTTGGGAAGAGGGGCTGAGGCGGAATTAAGCGGGGGCCACGCGTGGCTTGCGGCTGCGGTTCCCAGCCCTGGCGGCGTGTCACCACCGCCCGCTCTGCCGCTCCACCGCACGAGGCCGCGTCCGTGCGTGCGTGCGTGGCAGCAGGTGCAGCGCGCCGGACTACGACGTGACAGCAGGTGCAGCGCGCCGGACTACGACGTCCCGGCGGGGGCGCGCACAGAGCGGGAACCTGCAGCCCGCGGAGGCGCCCGCGGAGGCGCCCGCGGCGCACAGGGCAACACGCGGCGGGCGTCACCGTGTCCGGCCCCCTACGGGCCCTGGCCCAAGCCACAGGGCAGGGCGCGCGGGCGAACGCCCGCTGGGGCCCTCGGCCGCCGGGACACGCGGCGCCGGCGTCCGCCCCACAGTGCCTCGCGGCGCGCACGCGCAGGCGGCGGCTCCCAGCGTGCAGCGCGCGGCCGAGCCCGCAGCGGGCCGCCTCTGGCCGCCCCGCCGGGCCGCCGGGCCCCAGACGCGGGAGGATGGCGCTGAAGCGGATCCAGAAGGTAAGGGAGCCGCCCACCCACGCTCCGCCCTGGGCGTCCAGGTGTGGAGACGAAGGCGGGGCGTCGCCGCCGAGTGACTGGCGGCCGGCCCGCGAGCCAGGAACCGCCGCCGGCGCGGTGGGCGGGGGCCGTGGGCGTGGCCGCCGGCGCGGTGGGCGGACCCGCGTCCCGGGGGCGGGGCCACCGGCGCGGTGGGAGGGGCCGTGTCCCGGGGGCGGGGCCTGCCGCAGACGTCGTGCGGGGCGGCGGCAGGTGCAGCTCCGCGGTAGCTGGGTGCTCGTTCTAGAGTGTGAGGAGTGCGGGCGGAAGACAGCGACGGTCTTTGCAGTTCGACCGCGCTAGTGAGCTGTTAGCGCACCTGCCTCCAGGCTTGTCAACGATCGTATTTGGTGCCCGCCTTGTTCGCGTGGCGTCCGTGTCGCTGTTTGATAGCAGGGGTGGCCATCACCTTGCGCGTTAACTGCCCAGGAGTTCACGGCCGGTCATTGGTCGGAGTGGCAGGACGCGGGGTTGGTGGGCGGGACTTGGCCAGGCTGCGGTCCTGTTTCGGCCTTCCTGGCCTGCATGCACTCCCGTCTGTACGACTCCCGCCCAGGGCTCCGGTCCTTGTGTGATGCCCGTGGGGGCAGCCCGGGTAAGCTGCCGGCCTGGGTGCTTTGCGAACGCGCTATGTGTTAAGGTTTGTAGGGCCAGAGGGTGCAGCCTCACAGGGCGTTGTACGCGGTTTTCCTGGGGATGGAACTGGGCCTCTGAGCCGGCCTGTCAGGGGAGCCTGCGGAAAAGCCCGGGGTGTGGACAGCTCTGAGCTGCAGGGGCTTTGGCCTGAACTGGCCTTTCTTGGCCCCACCTGTTCAGTCGCCGCTCAGCTGTCCCGGGAGTGCCTTCACACATGGACATGGCTGTGCCAGTCCCTGAGGCTCGATGGTGGAGGGGAGGTGAGCACAGAGGGTAGTGAGTGCCCGGGGAGGTGTGCACCCGGGGGAGGTAAGGGCAGAGGGAGGTGAGCACAGGGGGGAGGTGAGCACGGGGGGGAAGGTGAGCACAGAGGGAGGTGAGTGCAGAGAGAGGTGAGCACAGAGGGAGGTGAGTGCAGAGAGAGGTGAGCACAGCAGGAGGTGAGCATAGCAGGAGGTGAGCGCAGAGGGAGGTGAGGGCAGGGGGAGGTGAGCGCAGGGGGAGGTGAGGGCAGCACGGAGGGGAGCAGCGTGATGGCAGAGTGCTGTGGGTGCAGAGCGGGGAGGTGAGTGAGGCAGAGCGGTTCATCGGGGCACCGTGGCCCTGCGTTTCGGAGGCGCCCTCTGCCCCCCTTCTGGGCCTCAGTGGTTCCCAGGCTCCCCTGCGCGTCCAGGTCCAGTGAGGACAGGGGTTCAGGGGGCTGTGCCCACTGAGAGCAGCCAGTGAGGGACTGGAGGGGTGGGGGAGGCAGCCCTTGGGGGCAAAACACGCCGACCTGTCCTGTTAGCTGGCTTCTGGCTTTAATACCCTCGTCATGGCCAAACAGATTTGCAGGGAAGTGAGAGCCACAGCAGGTGGCCAGAGAGGTTAGGGCTAGTGGCGTGATGAGTGGACCAGACACATCCAGGGGATCAGCAGAGTGGGTTTTTAAAGATTTATTTATTTATTTATTTGAAAGAGTTAAAAAGAGAGAGGAGAGGCCGAGAGAGAGGTCTTCCATCCGCTGGTTCACTCCCCAACTGGCCACAACGGCTGGAGCTGTGCTGATCCGAAGCCAGGAGCCAGGAGCTTCTTCCAGGTCTCCCATGGGGGTGCAGGGGCCCAAGCACTTAGGCCACCCTCCACTGCTTTCCCAGGCCACAGCAGAGAGCTGGATCGGAAGTGGAGCAGCCGGGACTGGAACCGGTGCCCAAATGGGATGCCGGCACTGCAGGCGGTGACTTTACCCACTACACCACAGCGCTGGCCCCTGCAGGGTCTTTGTGGACGAGGCAGAGCTGGTCCCGTGGAAGGAGAAACGCCACGGGCCAGGTGTGCCCTGGACGCGGGGATCTGCCCACCCCTGAGGTGTCCCTGCCACAGGAACGCTGTCCCACATGCCGCCCTCCGTGGGACCCGCAGTGTGCTGGACCGGGAAGGCCGGCATGCGAGGAAGCTTCCTCTTCCATGCAAACTCCGCTTGAGAGCCTGAGAGCCACTGTGCGGCTCCGGGCAGGGAGCACTGGGGGGGGGGCGCAGGGGGGAGGTGAGCACAGCGGGAGGTGAGGGCAGGGGGGAGGTGAGCGCAGAGGGGAGGTGAGCACAGCGGGAGGTGAGCGCAGGGGGGAGGTGAGCACAGAGGGAGGTGAGCGCAGGGGGGAAGGTGAGCACAGCAGGAGGTGAGCGCAGGGGGGAGGTGAGTGTGGGGAGCAGCCCGGACTGGACTGAGTTACTGGAATTAAGACTTATTCTATGCATCTGCTCTCCCACAATATGGCGCTGGGAGAGAAGTAAACAGCTTCCACACAGCTGCCTCCAGTTCAACTAATAAACTGTAGGACTTGCTACTGATTGGAGAGCAGCGTGCTCGGCGTGTGGGCAGCCGAGTTGGGATTGGCGGAGGAGGACTATAAAGGAGGAGAGAGACGGCATGCACCAGGAACATCTATGGGGAACATCTAAGGGAACCCGTGCAGCCCCCGAGAGAAAGCCGGCCGGCGGTGTGCCGCTCCCCTGCGGAAGTGGGGAAAGTGGCAGGGGGAACTGCCCTTCCACGGAGGTGGAAGGGATAGTAGCCAACCCGGGAAGAACCAGCAGCAAACCCGGGGAGGGTCGAGCAGACGAGAGAACAGCGCAGGGTCCTGTGTCGTTCCTCCACGAAGAGGGGGAGCGACATAATGGTGCCGTGACTCGGATATGAAGCCTAGGCAGGGTTTAGTGTCGTTCCCCCCCGGAAAAGAGGGGGGAGCGAAATAAAGGGTCCCGGACTTCGGAATATGAAACCCTAGGCAGGGGTTTAGGTTTCTTTCCCCCCCCGAAGAGGGGGGAGCGACAAAAAGGGGGCCCGGGATCTCGGATTAGAAACCTAGGCAGGGGTTTAGGTGTCGTTTCCCCCCCGAAGAGGGGGAACGCCAAGGAGGCAGGGGGGAGGAGAGCCCCCCCGGAGGTGAGCAAAGAAGGACAAGGGGCGGGGGGGGGGGGTGAGCACAGGGGGGAGGTGAGCACAGAGGGAGGTGAGCCAGTGTTGATGTCCCATAAGGGGGGTCTGGCTATGGTGCAGTTTCTGGCCCCTCCGGGCGTGGTGGGAAGCAGGTTAGCCTTGGGCTCCCGTGCCTACAGTCTCCTCGTTCAGGACCCTGGGACTTTCAGACACCAGTGTTGGGAGGGGTGGGGGATTGAGATACAGAGCCTTGGGGCTGGCGCTGCGGCCTCCCACATGGGCGCCAGTTCATGTCCTGGCTCTTCTACTCCCGATCCAGCTCCCTGCTGATGGCCTGGGAAAGCAGTGGAAGATGGGCCAAGTGCTTGGGCCCCTGCACCCACATGGGAGACCAGGAAGAAGCTCCTGGCTTCCAATCAGCCTAGCTCTGGCTGTTGTGGCCATTTAGGGAGTGAACCAGTGGCTGGAAGACCTCTCTCTCTGTCTCTCCCTCTCTCTAATTCTGCCTCTCAAATAAATAAAAGATTTTTCTTAAGAAAAAAAATAAGCCGGCGCCACGGCTCAATAGGCTAATCCTCCGCCTGCGGCACCGGCACCCCGGGTTCTAGTCCCGGTTGGGGCGCCGGATTCTGTCCCGGTTGCCCCTCTTCCAGGCCAGCTCTCTGCTGTGGCCAGGGAGTGCAGTGGAGGATGGCCCAAGTGCTTGGGCCCTGCACCCCATGGGAGACCAGGATAAGTAGCTGGCTCCTGCCTTTGGATCAGCGCGGTGCGCCGGCCGCGGCGGCCATTGGAGGGTGAACCAATGGTAAAGGAAGACCTTTCTCTCTGTCTCTCTCTCTCCCTGTCCACTCTGCCTGTCAAAAAAAAAAAATTTAAAAAAATAAATAAGAAGAAATACGGAGCCTCATCCAGCGCTGACACCCCCAGCCCTTCTCCTGGGCCTGGCTCTCTGGGGCTCTTTCTGTCCTGGGTACTGGGAGGGGAGTGTCCCCCACCTGAGCAGCGGGGAGCTAGGCCTGGGGAAGGCAGCCCTGGCTGTGACGACCCCTGCCCCTACCCGCCGGCCTGCAGCTCCGTGACCTTGGTGCAGCTTCACCTCTTTCATGTCTGTTTTTCGAGCCAGGAGAGGGCCCTGTGAGCACCTTGTCTCCAGCCCCTCCCACCAAGAGACTCTGCGGGCAGGCAGGAGGCTGTGTGTGGCCCACCCCAGCCACGCCCCAGCCTGACCGCTGTCTCCTGTCCTAGGAACTGACCGACCTGCAGAGAGATCCTCCGGCCCAGTGCTCCGCGGGACCCGTGGGGGACGACCGTGAGTATCCTGGGTGGCCGCGGGCTGCGGGGCCTTGCACTTGAGAGGGCTGTGCTTGTCAGCTGAGCAGTGAGCTGTTTTCCTGCCATTTGTCCATTAACACGCTGCCCCAGCTGGGTGGTCAGCTTACTCCCAGAATGCAGCTGGCTCACCCCTCCCTTCACAGGGCCTGTCCCGGTCAGTGTCACGTGGGCTGGGAAGTGCCTCTGCCTGCCAAGGGTGCAGGTGCAAGTGCCGTGGCTGCTGCTGCAGGACCTGGGGCCACTGCAGCCCCTGCGCCACAGAGCGGGTGGTTCCTGTTCTCTCTCCCACTTCCGCTTTCCCCAGGGGACACCGAGAAGCAGCCCCAGGCAGCTGCTCAGAGCTTAGAGAAGCAGCACCGCTGGCCCCTGTGCTCCTCACGGCCGGGCGCTGCCCAGGGCTGGGGCTGCCAGGTCTGAACTCGCCCCCACCCTGGCCTCCTGGGCTCGAGACACCGCGCTCTACCTGAGGCTTGGGGCAGCAGCCGTGTGCAGACAGGCGGGCAGGGCAGCTGCTGCTACAGGAGGTGGCGCCCAGCACCCTCGCTCACAGTCGTCCACAGGTGCTAGCAACCCCATGCCCGTCCGAGGTTCTGACACCCACCACGACACAGGCAGACGGACAGCTAAGAGACGCAAGCCAGAAACCACAGGGCAAATACTGCCGGCTTCCCACACGGAAGCCGAGTCGGGCAAGTCCCCAGAAAGTAGGTGAGAGTGCAGCAGAGGCTGGGGAGGGAGTGGGGCGGGGCTCCTGTCTGGGTGACGGCAGAGTCACACCGCACCGAGTGCTTGAATGGCGTATCTTACGTTCTATATATTTTACACAGGTCTGTTAAGAAAGAGAAAATTCACAGAGCTAGGGAAAAGGGGGATCCTGGCCCCAGGTCGGCAGAGGCGCCCAGGCGGGTGGGCCCCGCAGGAGGCTCAGCCTGCTTTGAAGGATGCCCCTCCGTGGCTCCTGCGCCCACTCAGCTCCCACGGCCGCTCACCTCACCTGTCCAGTCCAAGTGACTCTGTAGGGAGAGCTGACGATGCAGCCTTAGCGCCTGCAGGCAGCTCCTCCACGCAGCTCCGCGCCCACCCGTGCCTGCACCACAGCAGCTCCACGCCCGCCCTGGCCTGCACCACAGCCCCGTGCCCGGTGAGGCTCTGTCCCCGCCCCGGGCACACAGCTCCCTCCCGGCATGCTCTCTGTGGGGCCGTCTTCTCTCACTGCTCGCAAGCCCTGCTCTGTCACTCAGGCGTCCAGGTGACCTGTTCACCAAGGTGCGCTCCTGTTACCTGGCGCTCCCACGGGCTCCTGTTCTGACACAGGGCGGCTGTCAAAGCCCTGTCACGGCCGTCGAGGACAGAAGTCGTCACAGGTGGCCTTAGTGCACAGGGGCCTTCTCTGCCGCCACGTTTCTGTGGGCCGTGAACTTCTGTTTAGTCCCAGTGCTGTGACCTGTGACCTCACCCCACGCCCCGGCGCCCTCCTGGTCCCGCTGTCACGGGTGGAGCTGGTCGGGTATTTGAATTGGTGATGGGAAGCCCAGGCCACAATAAGCCTGAAGCCTCGCGCCGATTCCACACCCGTCCTGAGTCCAGTGAGAAGCATTTCCCCAGAGGCTGTGGACCCACTGCCCGGGGCTCTCGGGACGTGGGAGCCAGGGAGGTGTCTGCAGAGCGCACGGGAGCTGCTCTGGGCTGGCAGAGCAGTGCCGACCCGAGACCCCGCGGAGGAGCAGGAGGTGTCATGCCCAGAAGGCTCTGACCCGTGGGGGAGCCCAGCCTGGCTGCTGCAGGGAGAGGTCTCCTCTCGCCTGGTCCCCAAGTCCGGGTGAGCCAGAGAGGACGCAGGCGGGGTGGCCCTGGGAGGCCCCATGGCCATGGGCAGTCAGATCCTGAGAGGGACTCCTGGGAGGGGGCTTCGAGTGAACCGAGTGAAGCCAGGGGAGGGAAGGGGTTCTCGAGCCGCGTGCAGAGTGGCTGAGGCTTCGGTGCCCTGCAGAGGGGCCGAGCATCCTCAGACTCTGGGCATGGCTCCGAGAGGCCTCTCCTGACAGCAGCGTCTGGCTGCCTGGGACCTCGGCCCCCACCAGCGGGGAGACTTAGGGTAGAGATGGGCCAGCGTGTGGCCTGCGGCGATGGCCTGGTCCGTGGAGGGCCTGCACTCGGCGGTCAGCGCGAGTGGCCCTGCTTGTTGGTGTCAGCAGTTTGGCCTCACGGGCCGAGGGTGACACAGGCTGTGCAGCTGGCCCCCCCATGCTCCTCTGCGTCATTCCCTGTAGTGAGCCCAGGGCGAGCGCAGCCGCTGTCAGCTCGGGGAGGTCGAGTGAGTGACTGGTCCCACGGGTGGTCAGGGAACCCCACTCCTGCCTGGCATCAGAAGTGAGGGCGGGCCTGTCGGTAGAGCCCACTTGCCGGCTGGGCCTCACGTGCCGTCTCTCTTTTGTCTTGCAGTGTTCCACTGGCAGGCCACCATCATGGGCCCGGTACGTTGAGCTCCAGTTTGTGCCTCGTCCTTGTGTGTGGCGTGGCCACTGATCTCCCTGTGTCTCCTTGCAGACGGACAGTCCCTACCAAGGAGGGCTTTTCTTCCTGACCATCCACTTCCCTACGGACTACCCTTTCAAGCCCCCGAAGGTGAGCAGCGCAGCACCCAGTGAAGAGAGCTGAGAGCCGCGGCTCCCGGGACGCCAGACCTGGACTCGCAGAGCGAGAGGGGCCAGGGTGGGGAAGGGCTCCCGGGACGCCAGACCTGGACTCACAGAACAAGATGGGTCAGGGTGGGGAAGGGCTCCCGGGACGCCAGACCTGGACTCGCAGAACAAGAGGGGTCAGGGTGGGGAAGGGCTCCTGGGATGCCAGACCTGGACTCGCAGAGAGAGAGGCGTCAGGGTGGGCAAGGGCTCCTGGGAAGTCGCGCTCTTGCCAGCGGCTGCCGCAGCTGCTGTGGTGCCTGGTCGCGCCTCCAGGCGCCGGCTCCCCCTGCAGTGCCTTCCAGCCCAAGACCAGGCTGTCAGCTAAGACGATTTGCCCGGAACGCGCGTGTGGACAAATGCTGGGATACTTCGGCTCACCAGACTTGCTGTGGAGGGCGGGGCTTGCTGCTAGTGTCTAGTGGGTAAAAGCCAGGGGTGCTGCTCCGGGACAGCCCCCTCCCACAGCAGAGAACGTTCCAGCCCAGGAGTCAAGTGCCAAGGTGGAGACACCTGGCCCGGGACTCTGCAGATGGGTTCTGTTTATTAAGGTGCCGCTCACGCGCACACCCTGTGGCATGGGGGAGCTGCAGAGACCAGCCCCCTGGACTGTGCCTGCTGGACCAGCTGCCCCGCCCACTGAAGCTCAGAGCCCTGTGGAGCAAACAGGGATGTCGTGCCTAGGAGCAGCACAGGCCGGAGCCCAGCAGCCTTTGTGTGCAAGTGGTCTGGGGTGGGAGGGGCCAGACTGCTGCAGCCCTGGTGTGGGCGTCAGCTGAGGGGGCGACCTGTGACTCCAGAGGAGGGTAGAGTGTGGGGCGGGAAGAGGAGGCCCCGGCTGCTGGGAGGTGGAGCCCAGGTTTACGGCCCCTTTGACCGCTCTTCCCTGTTTCTGGTTCAGCGGTGGTGCAGGCTTATTTGTGAGCTAGAGACCTAGCGGTGGGCACACGGAGGGCCGTCTGCTGTAGACCCAGCAGGGCCCAGCTGGCAGCCCCACAGGCTCCTCCAGGTCTTCCCTGTGTCCGCCAGTGCATGCCTTCGGTCTCATCTCCAAAATATGGGAAGTAAGGCTGGAAAAGGACGCATCGTTTCCTGAGGTGACGCGGCCCGTCGCTGAGGGTGGACCCCCGGCACAGCCGCCTTTAAAGCTGTGTTGTGGACTGATTTTAGCTTAGAAACAAGTCGCAGAAATAGTACGAGGGGCTTCCGTGAACCCCTCGCCCGCCTCCGCCGTTGCCAGCGCCCGCGTCACTGCCCTGCCCCGAGCCGAGAGCCTTGCAGCCAGCGTCCTCCGAGGGCCACAGCGCCCGGCTCCTGGTGACCGGCGGTCACTGCCGCCGTCCGCGCTGGGGCCTCGGTTGCCCTGGTGGCGTTGAGGGGTGCGGCTCTGTCACGGCGTCAGGCCCTCACTTGGGGTTTCTGTGACGTTTTCTCGGGTCTGCGCGTGGTCAGGGCGGTGCAGCCTGGGGCGGGAGGCCGCCGTGCAGCCCTTTCTCAGCTGGTCTCGAAGGCCCCGGTCAGGCTGACCTCGAGCCTCTGTTGTGTGGCCGGCGTCTGGCCCTGGCGCTCTGAATGTGCCCAGGGTCCCTGAGGCCTGGCAGGGGAGTGGCCGTGTGGCCAGGTAGAGCCAGGCGCTCTGTCTGCTGCTCCCGCAGCTCCTGCAGCCTCTGGCCCTGCCCTCCCCTGTGGGTTCTCCAGCTCAGCTCCCTCCCGCTTCCTCGGGCTCAGCGCAGGACCCCTGATGGCCCAGGCAGCTGCTGCTAGGGGGCGGGGTTATTTTGACGAGGTGAGATTCCACCAGAGAAAGCAGCGCCTCTGTCTCTCTGACACTGTCCTTGCACAGGGGCACGAGACAAGCTGGACTTGTGTGTGGCAGGCGTTTCCCTGCCACAGTGGTCGTCCTTGTGGACACAGTGAGGCAGATTCTTGTGTCGGAGGCCTTCTGGAAGCAGGCCCGGCCCAGGGACCCCATGGGCGTGGGCGCGTGCAGGGCAGGCGCGCACGGCCCCTCTGCCTGCGGTCTGAAGAAGACGCTCTCCGAAAATCACACGCGTGTGCAGCCTAAAGAACTGGCCGGGCACTCGGAAATTGTGCGTGACGGCACGGCAGGCGCCCGTCCTCCCACGTGGGGCAGTGTTGCCCGCTGCGGAGTGGACTCTGGTCCCGCTCGGGGACAGGCAGAGCTGCCCTGACAGCGTGGGGATGACCCACAAACCCCGCAGCAGCCCAGCCAGGGCTCACAGCCCGTACGGCACGGAGTCGGGGGGCAAGGAGGTTGTCTGAGAAAGTGCAGCTGCAGCCTCAAGCAGTCAGTAGGAGCATGCACGGTGAGCGGGGTCAGGCAGGGGTCAGGGGTCACACAGGAGGGGGATGGGGTGAGCAGGGGTCAGACAGGAGGGGGATGGGGGGTGAGCAGGGGTCAGACAGGAGGGGGATGGGGGGTGAGCAGGGGTCAGACAGGAGGGGGATGGGGGTGAGCAGGGTCAGACAGGAGGGGGTGGGGGGTGAGCAGGGGTCAGACAGGAGGGGGATGGGTGAGCAGGGTCAGACAGGAGGGGGATGGGGGTGAGCAGGATCAGACAGGAGGGGGATGGGGGTGAGCAGGAGTCAGACAGGAGGGGGATGGGGGGTGAGCAGGGGTCAGACAGGAGGGGGATGTGGGGTGAGCAGGGGTCAGACAGGAGGGGGATGGGGGGTGAGCAGGGGTCAGGAGGGGGATGGGGGAGCAGGAGTCAGACAGGAGGGATGGGGGTGAGCAGGGGTCAGACAGGAGGATGTGGGGTGAGCAGAGGTCAGATGGGATGGGGAGGTGGGGTGAGCAGGGGTCAGGGGTATGTGAGGTCAGGCAGGGGTCAGACAGAAGGAGGATGTGGGGTGAGCAGGGGTCAGGGGTATGTGGGGTCAGGCAGGGGTCAGACAGAAGGAGGATGTGGGGTGAGCAGGGCTCAGGGGTAGGTGGGGTCAGGCAGGGGTCAGACAGAAGGAAGATGTGGGGTAAACAGGGGTCAGGGGTATGTGGGGTCTGGCAGGGGTCAGATGGGAGGAGGAGGGGGTCAGATGGGGATGCGGGGTCAGGAGGGGGATGGGGGGTGAGCAGGGGTCAGACGGAGGGATGTGGGGTCAGATGGGAGGGGGAGGAGGTGAGAGGGGTCAGACAGGAGGGGGAGGGGTGAGCAGGGGTCAGACGGGGAGATCGTGCAGTGGACAGTGGGCCCTGCCTCTGCAGCCCGGCTGTCTCTGCGTCTCTCGGGCACCATGGGCACCGCCCAGGCACCTGTGAGTGCTGCTTCTCTGCCCTTGGGATCAGTGTCCCCTGCCCTGGCCGCGGTGCCTCTGGAGGCTGTAGTCTGTGAGCACGTGCCCCTCGCGGAGCTGTGGGCCTGCGCCGCAGCCCAGCCCCTGCGGGACCACCAGGGGGCACTGTGTCTTTGGCTGCTGTGCATCCTCACTATCTGAAACGTGCAAGGGCGTTTGAAGGCTGAGGCGACAAGGGGGTCTTCGACAGAGATAGGAACAGGAAGGCTGGGCTCCTTTGCGGGCAACATGTCGGACAGCAGCACAACCTCTGCCTAGACTGAAATTTGCAGTCTCACCAGGCTGACCAGAGTAAGCCACACCGTTGGCAAGGGGCGGTGAGTGGGTTTTGTCTCTTGCCCTGTGGTGCCTCTGTCCCCTGCCGTAGCCCTGACTAGAGTTGTGTGTGGCCCTTTCCACACCCTCCCTGTACTCCCAGGAGTGCTGCGCCTCCGGAGACCCAGTGTCGGTGTGAGCAGGGTGCAGGGGACTTCTGTGGTCACCCCTGCCGAGTCCCGTCAGGGTGCGGGGGTGGGGGGAGGCACCTGCTTCCGTGCCGCTGCATCGTCCGGCTGTCGCTGTGGCGCTCTGACTGGGGTCCCTTATCTTTGCAGGTTGCTTTCACAACCAAAATCTATCACCCCAACATCAACAGCAATGGCAGCATCTGCCTCGACATCCTGCGGTCACAGTGGTCCCCGGCGCTGACCGTGTCCAAAGGTAGAGTGGCTCACAGCTGGCGTGTGTGTGTGTGTGTGTGTGTGCTGGCTGGGCAGACGAGCAGGCTCAGAGCAGTGGCTTTCCCTGACCACTCAGTGCCAGCCACCCCCGTGCCCACACGCCGGGCCCACCCAGCAGTTCTAGCAGTCGGTGCCATGAGGGGCTCCCAGTGTGGCCTGGTGTAGGCAGAATTGATTCTACTTGGACTTCCTGTCTAAAAATAAGAAAGCCAGATGTCACCTGGCCTTCGGTTCACCTCTCTGAGAAATCCAGTCTGAGGGAAGAGGTCCAAGGCCTGGCCCAGGGCCTCCACGTCAGCAGAGAAACCAGAGCAGCCAGGGCTGAGTGGGGCGAGCCCCGAATGCAGACAGCACCGTCCGTCCCGCGGAAGAAGTCGCCCCAAGAAACAAGCGGCAGGTGGAGGGGGCGTGCAGCGCTGCAGCCTCGGGCAGCCGACGAGGGCGGCGTCGGAAGGCGGTTGAGGCGGCAGCCGTGGGACTGCGGGACACAGCAGGTCCCTGCGGGGGCGGGCGGTGCCCACAGGGCTCACCCTTGTGAAGCAGTCCCCAAGCCCGCTGAGCAGCTGCTGCCGGTGCAGCCTGGGAGCAGGGTGCCGGGGAGGGGCCGCCCAGGCGTTCCAAGGCAGCTTCCCCTTGCTCTGACCCCCTGTTTCCTTCTCAGGCGCAGCGTGGCTGGGACCAGATGCCAGGGGGTGTGGTGTGGGGCAGACAAGAGTGGGAGCATTGGGCTGGGACCAGGAGGGCGCCATTGGGAAGGGGGGTGAGGACCGGCGGCACGAGGGGGGAGCCCCCCGGAGCAGTGTGCTGGGACACTGGGACGTGACAGCTGCCCTCCGTGTGGGCAAAGTGCCTTCTGTCACGGGCCCTGGGTGCCCCGCAGAGTCGTCCAGTGGGGCTGCTGAAGCCCCGGCAGCCACCCGTCACCCGCGCAGCCGGCCCGGGGCCTCCCAGACCCAGGCGCACCTGCAGCTGACGGACCCTTTCTTCTCTCCCCAGTTCTCTTGTCCATCTGCTCCTTGCTCTGCGACCCCAATCCCGATGACCCACTGGTGCCGGAGATAGCCCACACCTACAAGGCCGACAGAGAGAAGTACGCGTCCTCTCGGGTTGCCTTTGTGCTGCCGCTGCCCTGGGCAGCACCGGGCGCCACGCTGCGGCTCCCGGGGCGTGGGCTCCTGGCTCTCACTAACACATCCTCTGGCTCCAAGGGAGGAGACGAGCAGCCGGCTCCTCACCTCCTGCACAGCGCATCCGCTGCCGCTTCTACACGGTAGCCCGTTGCCGAGCTCTGGTCTCAGGGCCGGCGGTCAGTGGCCAGCCGAGAGTGCACGCAGAAGAAAACCTGGAGTAAATGCTGAAGTCTAGCGTAAGACAGCGGGGGGCTGCTCGGACACACCAGGTGAGGCCGAGCGGCAGGGCAGGCGGGAGACACTGCCGTGGCCAGCTGGCCGGCTGCGAGCCGAGTGTTGTGCTCTGTTTCACGGACCCTGAGACCGCCTGCTGTGTTTAACACTGACGGCCACGCGTGGAACTGTAGAAGTGCAGCGCCCTCGGCCAGGCACAGCCACAGCCACAGCCACAGCCACAGCCACGTGTGCTGCGGAATGGGGCAGCTGTGGTGGGCGGAGCAGGCCGGGGGTCGGCGTTCATCTGAGTGCCGACGGCAGTGAGGAAGGGCAGTGTGGCTGGGGGCCCTGCCAGTGTGTCGCTGGGGAAGGGTGCTGGGTGCTGCACAGTGCTGGTTGAGTCCCATCGGCCCTGCCGGTCCAGCTTCCTGCTGGTGCACTCTGGAGGCAGGAGACGGGGGCTCCAGTGAAGGGCCACCGTCACCACAGTGGGGGACCTGAGTGGAGGGCTGGGCTCCTGGCTGTGGGCTGGCCCAGCTCTGGCTTCGCGAACATTTGGGGAATGAACCAGTGAATAAAATGTTTCTCTCCCGGGGCTGGTGTGGCGTAGCCGGTAAAACTGCCTGCGACTGCAGCTCCCATGTGGGCGCTGGTTCAGTCCCGAAGCTCCTTTCTGATCCAGCCCCCATTAATGGCCTAGGAAAGCAATGGAGGGTGGCCCAAATCCCACCCCCGTGGGAGACCTGGAAGAAACCCCCAGCCCTGGCTTCCACCTGGCCCAGCCCCAGTCGTTGTGGCCATTTGGAGAGTGAACCAGTGGATGGAAGACCTCTTCTCTCCCTCTGCAACTCTGCCTTTCAAATGAATAGGTAAATTTTAAGAGTATTTTCAGTGAGCTTTTAGTTCATCACTCCTCTTCTGTCTGAAGAGATGAGAATGTCGTTTTTCCAACTTGTATGTTTGAGACCTTTATAGATCTGATTTCCACTGAAGTTTCCTGATAAAATAATTTTCAATGACTAGATTTTAAATTGTACTTATTTAACATGTAACTTAATTAACTTATTTAACATTAGGACTTTTTAAAATATTTATTTGAAAGGCAGAATTACAGAGAGACAGAAGCAGATGGAAACATCTCGCTCCTTCATTCACAACAGCAGGGGCTGGGCCAGGCCAAAGCCAGCAGCCACGTGGGTGGCAGGGCCCCGGGCGTTTGAGCCATCATTTGCTGCCTCCCACAGTACACGTGGCGGGACGCTGAGACAGGACTTGAACCCAGACACGCCAGTGTGGGATGTGGGTGACCCAAGGGGCATATTCTTCTTTTTTTTTTTTTAAGATTTATTTATTTATTTGAAAGAATTAGAGAGAGGGACATCCAGAGAGAGATGCTTCATCCGTGGCTCACTCCCAAATGGCTACAACAGCTAGGGCCGAGCCAGCCCGAAGCCAGGACCAGCAGCTCCAGCCAGGTCCCCCGTGTGGGTGGCAGGGGCCCAGACACGTGCACCATCAGCAGGCCATCAGCAGGGAGCTGGACTGGAAGTGGAGCAGCAGGACACGAACCAGCGCCCACGGGGAATGCTGGCACTGCAGGCGGCAGCTCTACCCCGTGAACCACAGTGCTGGCCCCCATCAAGTGACTTCCCTTGTTCTCTAACCGGAGTCTGCACAGATCTCACAGCAGTAATGACGCACGGTGCTCCCTGGTGCCAGGCCTGCCGCGCAGGTCTCGCGCGCGCACTCGCCTAGTCTTCCCCGCTACCACCCCGGGCAGACGTCCAGGGAGGCCAGGGCGCAGAGGCGGCCCCGCCCCAGCCGCCCACGCCTGTGCTGTGGGCTTGTGGAGTGGCTGCCTGGAGCTCTTCCCGGAGGGGCTGTGAATGTCTCCCCCTCTTCTCCCTGCGCGCACACTGTGACAGCGGAGAGCATGGGCGGCGCTCTGCTGCCTTAGGCGATCTTCCATAGCCAGTCTCTTCCGAGAACCACCAGGACTCAGAGGCAGCTGCCTGCCCGCAGCCCTGGCTGCTTAACCCAGCGCCCCCCGCACACTCCTGCTCTCCGCCCCACGCTGAGAGGAGGTGACCGTTCCAAGTGGGGTGTCACTCCCTCTGCTTTTTCTTCCAGGTACAACAGACTAGCGAGAGAGTGGACACAGAAATACGCTCTGTAAGTGTCTTGGACAAGGTCTTGTGGGAGATACTGCCCAGGAGAAGCTGGCCAGAGGGGTCTCTCGTGAGACTGTGCTGTGGGCTGGGCCACGGAGCGCGTCATGTGTTCTTCAAACGCTGGTCACCCGCCGGGTCCTGCTGCAGTGTGTCGGGGCGCGGTCAGCCATTGTGATGGTTTTGACAGTGTCAAGTGTTTTGGTGCCAAATCAGCAGGCTCCCTGGGTACACCAGAATCCGTCCAGCTGCCCCGCGCCTCTGCTTGTCTCTGGGGCTGGGCCCTGCACGTCTCCCTCACCCGGCCTCAGAGGACGTTGCTGCTCACGGTGGCACCACGTGGGCCTGCCTGACCCCTCACCACACCCTCTGCCTGTACAAGGCAGAGCAGGCTCCTCGCCCTGTCTGCACAGCCACAGCCGGGGAGTCTGCTCTCCTTCCGGAGGCCCAGGAGTGCGCAGCAGCGACCCCGGAAGTGGAGGCCTCGCCTGTGACTGCCAGGCTTCCTCCAGGCCCACCCAAGAAGCGGCAAGTGGAAGGTGCCAGGCTACACCCACGGGGGGACTTTTTAGAAGCAGGAACAAACTGATGCCACTGGAGAGATCCGGTTTATGCTTTTCTACGTAATGAGGCCCCCCCCCCCGCCGCCGCTGCACACCTCCTCCCACCTGGAGCCTACTCGAAGTGCACGTGGAAGCCACTCAGACGGCCACACAGGAGGGGCGAGACCTTAATTGTCAATTAAAATGGAGCTCATAACTCTAAATGACGGCTGATGCGTCAGTCTCCTTTTCCCTTTCAGGCCGACCAGAAAGGACAGAAACCCCTGCAGGTTCCTCGGAACCTTGGTAGAGTAGTCCGGAGAGAGACCGACTCCCTCACCTGGCTTTCTGGCGCCAGGTTTGCCGTTGGAGCTGAGAACTTGGGCTGAGTTCAGCTCGGCAAAGGCAGGAAAGGCGTTTCTCTAACAATGCCTTCCGAGCGGGGGCACAGGTGAGGGGCTTCAAGGGTCTGAAGCCGAATCGTTGAGGCTGGGCCTGTTCCTCAGCTGGTTAGAAGGCTGGTCCGCTACTGCAGTGATGCGTGAGGGAGCTGGCAGAACGGCCAGGCGGGGCCTCTGCAGGTGCTCAGAGGACATCCACGGGCCTGGCGCGTGGGGCCGGCTGTGGAGATCCAGAAACTGCCCAGTGTCGCTGTGAGGCGACCACTGAGGCTCCTCCCACAGCCGCTCCTTAGCCAACAAGAAGCATCGGTCTGCTCTGCGTTGCTTCTGAGGGTCCCGTTGGCCTCCTGGTACTGGGCTGTGTTCTTTTCCGGGGGTGTGGACTCCTCTGATTTCTCTCTTTGCTATCCTTTAGTGTTTGCTGTAACGGAACAATAACTAAATAGATGGGGCGGCACTGTCTGGGAAGGCTGCCCCATGGCTCTGCAGAACCAGTGCCACGTGGTGGCCGTCACCACACCCCTCAGCCCAGCTCCGTAAAGTGCTTAGCACAGTGACCTGGAGTGCGGAAGGAGAGGGGAGCTGACGGACATGCGAGAGGTCAGAGGGGAAATCCCGACCCAATCGGGAGGCCCTGAGTCTCAAGCAGAAATGCGCATGACTCCCAAGAAACTGATGGATTTTCTAGGTCCAGACACTTCCCCAAGCCTGTCCCCTCTGCCGGATAGGCCGTAAAGCAATCCTGGAGGCCAGGGCCAGCTTTCCCTCGCCCATTGCAAGCCTGTGGTGAGCTTTGGACCTGCAGCCTCCTCGGGCAGCCTTGTCCCCAGCAAGTCCCCTGTCGCTCCCCACACGCCTTCCAGGGCTCAGGTCAGCCAGAGAACGGCTCCTTCGTTCAGACGCCTGTTCCAAGGTGCACCAGGCGCTGGAGGCTCCCGCAGCACCGATGCCTGCAGACCCCGTGTTCCCAAGGTCAGCAGCTGGGCGGCAGATCCGGAAAGCCCCCGTGGGGTCCACCTTTTCTTGCTCTGTGGCCCAGAGATTAAGGAGTCGTGTTATCTTAAGCGGTTGATCCATGGTGAACAAATAACGGCCTGTTAGCTCTCTCTCCCAGAAGTTCCTGGGTTTGCTGAACGGAGCTGTTTGGTCTCTGCCAGGCTCCAGAAACGACAGGGCCTCAGACAAGGGACTAAAACGCCAGCGGCAGATGTCCACCAGGCCTGGGAGCTCACGGCCAAGCAGAGGTCAAGAGTGGCCAGATCTCTGAACTGAGCCAAGTCTCTGGCAATGAGTGTTCACAGGACTGGTACAGGATTCCCGGGCTGGGGGCTGCCCTCCGCGGTCCCCAGAGGGGCCGAGACAGCCTGGAGCCTTCCGTGCCTCCACTCCTCACGGCTGGCTGGGCAGCAGCGACTGGAGCCGCCTCCCGAGCAGTCCTGGGCTGCCAGCACCCCGTCCCGCGCAGCCATGCAGAGGCCGGCTCCTCGCCTGTGCCGGTGAGAGGAGAGGGACGTGCTGTTCCCTCTTGGAAGCCAGCTCCTGGCTCTCATCCCCACCACCTGCTTTCCCTGTCGACAGACTGCATTTAAAACAAAACCAGAGCTAGCGCGCGGCTGCAAAGCTGCCTCCTTCCTTCCCAGCCCCCACCTCATAAACAGCAGTGAGGGGCACAGGGTGGAGGTGGTCCGCTCACGGCTGCTCACCTCCTCTGGAGCCCACCGAGTTCACTGCACCCCGAACGAAACCCACAGCCCTCCTGCCCTCCTCTGTACCCCATCCTGAGACCCAGCCCCCAGCTGGCTTCCTCCCAGAGCTTCCTGTGGCTCCGCCCCCTCAGTCTGCACCAGGGCTCCTCCCAGGGAGGCCTTCCCTGGCCCGTCCAGCTGAGATGGCCCCCACGTGCCTACACAGGGACTGGGATCCCACCTGGGACCCTGCCTCTCCCTACTGGTAGGAATGAGCCCGGTCACCACACGGAGCCGGTCCAACTGCAGAACAGAGGCCTGCACAGCCGACGGAACGCCGCGCCCGGCAGGGCTGCCCGGTGGGCATCGGGGGCAAGCACAGGAGCAGGGGCAGGTGGGAGGGCTGCGTGGGTTCTCCCTAGGTGGACGGAAATGGCAAAAGTGCCCCCGAGAGCCGAGGCGTCCGTGTGGATAAACTGCCGGCTGGAAGGTGCTGACGGGGAGCACCCCCGGAGGAAGGCCACGCGGGCCCCGGGAGGCTGAGGCGGAACTGGCCCAGAACGAGGAGGGACTGGTCTGAGGGCAGAAGCGCTGGTACTGAAGCTTCCAGGAAAAAAGGAGCTGGGGAAGCTGAGCGGCCAGACACGGGGGCCCGCCGGGGGGCGGTGACGCCTTCCGGGCAGGCGTGGCCGGCGGGGAAGCAGGGCCGGCTCCTGGTCGGAGGACGGCTCGGCCTCTCGCTCCCGCCCACCGGCCCGCACCACGCGCCGCCGGGATTCAACGTGGGGGCTCCCCCAATGACGCAACCCTCTCCACACCGCTGACGTAACGACACCGGGCACAACTCTCCGGAGACCCTGGGGTCCGTGGGCCTTCATTTTACGGAGGCGGAGGAGGCTGGGAGGGAAGCCGGGAGCTGCCCTCGGCGCGCAGAGACCCCCAGACGTGGGGAGACGCCCAGGGCCGACTCTCGCCGACCACACTAGAGAAGGCGCAGGGGAGCGCGAGGGCGGTGCGGTCAGCACCTGCCAGTCACTCGCGCTCTCGCGTGCACGCTTCATCCTCACGGCAGCTCTCTCTCGAGGTCCACACAGGCTCCGGCCACCCGCGGACCCGCGCGTCCACTGCGGCCGGGACGTGCTCTGCGGGAGCAGCCGCCCCCTGCCCCGCTCTCCCCGACCACCCGAGTCCGCCAGGCCTCCACTCCCGGCCCGCCTTCCCGGCGCCGAGTCCCGCCCCGCTTCCGCTTCCGGCCGGCGGGGCGGGGCTTCCGGCTGGCGGGGCGGGGCTTCCGGCTGGCGGAGGCCGGGCTTCGGGCAGTCCGGGGAGGCCGGGCCGGCGGCGGCGGCGGCGGCGGCGGTGGTGGCGGTGCGGGGACCGCGGGCGGGACATGGCGGCGAACCTGAGCCGGAACGGGCCTGCGCTGCAGGAGGCCTACGTGCGGGTGGTCACGGAGAAGTCTCCGACCGACTGGTGGGCGACGAGGCGGGCCGGGCGGGTCGGTCTGAGGCGGGAGCGGGCGCCGTCGGGGGAGTCGGGGCGCAGCTGCACTGGCTCGGCCCGGGCTCCGGTGCTGGGTTCTCGGCTTGGCCGTGCCTGCCGGGCTGCCGGGCTCTTCCCGGCCCGGAACTGCCCTGGGGAAGGGGTCGCCCGCAGCCTTCCGTGGGAAGGCGGAAGCCACGCCCGGGCTCCCGCCCCGCTGCCTCTGGGGTCTGGCGGCCGGCGAGGTCGGGCTCGGGGCCTGGCGCTCCAGGAACGTGCGTCTCCGAGCCTGAGCCCTGTGCAGATGAGTCGAGGTGGGCTCCGGGGGCTGGCGGTCGGCGCCTGCCCCGGGCGAGGCCGCACGGCCCGGGAGCCCGGGTCTGATGCCTGAGACCTGCCCCGTTGTGAGCGCTGGGTGGACGCCGTCCACTCGGAGACATCGCACCGGCCTCCTCTGCTGGCTCGTCCCGCAGGAAATTCCCCCGCGAGTCTGGGTTTTTCGTAGGCGAGCGTGTGGATGTCGCCTCCAGCCCCGCCTCGCGCCTGTGCTCCTCGGGGCGCTCTCAGACCCCCGCCCGTGGCCTCAGACCCGCTGGAAGGGTCTGCGCTTGGAGCCCCTGCTTTGGTTCCCAGAAGGATCCTTGCCCGGGGCTGGGTTGGCTCTTGGTCGCCTGTTTAACCCGCACTGACTCCCTGGGCGGTCCCCGTTGATCTCCGACCCCCGCCCTCCCGGGAAGCGTCTGCTGTGTGTGTGTGTGTGTGTGTGTGTGAGTGTGAGTGTGAGAGATGCCCTGCACGGGTGTGTGTGTGTGTGTGTGAGACGCCCTGCACGGGGTGTGTGTGTGTGTGTATGTGTGTGTGAGACGCCCTGCACGGGGTGTGTGTGTGTGTGTGTGTGAGACGCCCTGCACCGGGTGTGTGTGTGTGTGTGTGTGTGTGTGAGACACCCTGCACCGGGTGTGTGTGTGTGTGTGTGTGTGAGATGCCCTGCACCGGGTGTGTGTGTGTGTGAGAGAGAGAGAGACGCCCTGCACGGGGTGTGTGTGTGTGTGTGTGTGTGTGAGAGAGACGCCCTGCACAGGGTGTGTGTGTGTGTATTGAGTGTGAGAGACGCCCAGCAGCTCAGCCGGCTGCTCTCACCTGGGCCTTCTTACCAGCGCTGTCTCCTGCCCCCCGGTCTGGCACTGACCCCCGCCCACTGCGCCGTCCCCCCCCCCCGAGGGTGCTGAGCCTGCACTGTGGCATGAGCCCCTGGCCCGCCACCCTGTCGCGGCCCTGTGCGGCCCGTGCCCGCCTGCTAGCTGAGAGCACCGTGAGCGTGTCACTTCCCTAGCGCTAGCTTGGCAGTGGCTTCCTGTTGCACGCGGAGCGAGGCCCGCGCCGCCCCCCGGCTGCCCTGAGTGGCCCAGTTCCTGCGCCCGTCACGCTCCCACGACGTGGCCGCACCTGCTCGCCGCTGCCCTTCCTCAAACTGTCAGGCCGGTTCCTCTTCCGCGCCCTCGCTTTGCCGTCCCCTCAGCCTGCCGCCAGCCCCTCCTTGTCCTCCGGTCTCTGCCCCTCCCCAGGCTCAGGTCTCTGCTCCACGGAGGTGGCTCCCGCTCCCTGGCCGGCTTTAGGCACAAAGGGGCCCTGGGCTGGGAAGCTCTGCGTTTTCTT